GTAGAGCATTGTCTTTATAAGCTGTGTCATGCCAATTGAGCTAGATGTTCCCCGAGACCATGGTCCCCACAGCCCTCCACCAAGCAATTCAGTCCATCAGGGAGTTTGGATGTGTCTATGGGGCTTCCATGACCTTTTGTTTGCTTTTTAATTATCTGTTTTCTCCCAAAAGAATGACAATTTCAAGACAGCAGTGATTTTCTGTATCTACCATAGTATCAGGGCCTAGCTAAGTGCCTAGTACAGAGTAGGTGCTTCAAAACACTCACTGAATGACTGAGTAAACAGGGAAAAGCTTATTGCAGGGAATGGAATAGGACATGGAGAGCCTTCAAGCTGGGTGGCCTCTATTTTCCTGGTAGAGTGAACCATGAGCTTAAAGAAGGAAAAGAAAAGAGGAGCCAAGGGCTTGGAGATCTCTTGCCTTTAAGAAGAGTTACAATGGAAGTATAAGTTTTCAACCACAAAGAACAGGAGGTTGTGGTTTAGAGCCACCGAGATACTGCCATTTCTGATTTCAGAAGCTGAGCATGCCTGGGTGAGGTTGAGACTCAGATGTAGTTCAAGGAATGAGAATGAGTAGCTGGAGTTGGGTTTGAGATGGTCAGTGAAGTGAGAATCTAGTTCGTCATCACCCACGTGGACTTTGGGACCAGAGAAGGAGAGAAAGCCCATAAGCCAAAGTCCCCCATGCTGTGCAGAATGACTGGTTGGCAGAGCTGTAGCCAGGGACCTGGCCAGGTCACACTCTCAATTCCAACTCTTCCACTTCAAACAATCTCTGACTAGTATTTAATCATCCATGTGTGGAACTGAAAATTAACTCCATTTGAGGACTGAGTAATCTTTGTCCTTTTAAAATTACACTCATATGTGAAGATCATGAGAGGTAGAAATTTCCTGCATAGATTCACTTCTTCAAGAATAAAAGATGAATGATATCTTCGTGACCTTCAGTAATTACACTGTACTGTATAATATTTTCAAACATCATTTCAATAAAGCATCATAAAACTTGGGGGGCTGAAAGGAACCTTAGATCATTTAGGCTGGCACCTTCATTCGCACAGCTGAAGGAAATTTCTGCTGAAATACTGCAAACAGCCAACAATTACCAATCTATATATGCCGACAAGGTTTAAAAGTACCTTCAATTTTTGCAGTGAGCTTTAGATATACAAATCAGCAATGTCTGCATTTCTTCCAGGTATCTGTGTTCAACTTTGGATATAAAATCTCCAAAGGACAAAATTATCACATTAATTGTTCCAGAGCAGTTCAGAGGAGTAAACTGCTTCCTGGCTTGAAAGAGGAAGTCAAATCTTCAAACACCTTTTTATGTTGATGCTAAATGAAAGAACGTCCTCTTCAAAGCAGTCAAAGAAAGACAAAGCAGCATCTGAGGTTTCTCAAGAGATGCACAAAGACTATTTTCCTTTCATTAAGACACTAAAACTTTCAATAGCATCTTCCATAATAACTGAAGGTGGAGTGCTGTCTTATGTGACAGCATCCCTCCCGCGCCGCTCAGTTTGTAGACAAAATTAAAACAAAAAACCCAAATCGGCTGCCATCGAATCGATTCCGACTCATAGCGACCCTACAGGACAGAGTAGAACTGCCCCACAAGGTTTCCAAGGAGAGGCTGGTGGATTCGAACTGCCAACCTTTTGGTTAGCAGCCAGCTCTTAACCACTGTGCCACTAGGGCTCCAGACAATTAAATACTACCTACTCCGCTCAGTAATTTGAGCTCTTTCACCTTACCTGAAGTCACTATCAGCCACAATCCCATTTCCACAGATGATGAAAATAGCAAAGCCCTGCTCAATAAGCTTAAGTCGGTAGCAGGAGGCCAGTGTAAGGACTATCCCTAAAATCACTGGTCACCTCCAACCAGCTCAGGTAAAGGTAACAAGAGTCCGTTTGTCTTTCCCTCTCCCTCTCCTGCGGCGCACAAGTAAAGTACTGGGTAGGTTGGGACCTCAGGTTAGGGTCACCGTTGCCAGCTAGGATGGAAGGAGAGAAGCCACGCTGGAGTCGGGGACTCTCCCTGCCGGCGCCGGGGCTCCCAGCCGCAAGCACATCTCTACTCCACAGCTGGCGCGGCTCCTCCTCGCCCAGCCCGGGTCCCGCTCCGGGTTCCCAAGGCGGCGGGCAGGGCCGTCCAGCGCGCGGCCAGCCTTGGCCAAGGCTGTCTGGGGAAGTGAGAAAGTTCCCTCCACTTAGACGTCCGCGCCTCCCCAACGCCAGCCTCCGGCCGGGAGCAGGTCGCGGCCCAGAGTCGAAGACGCGCTGAGCCCCAGGGACTGTCCCCTCCCGCCCCGGGCGCCGGGGCTCAGCCTCAGGACGAGCAGCTCCCCCGCCCCTAGCCCTGGGGCGCGCAGCCCGTACTCACCGGCTTCCCTCTGGATCCCCAGGTGGTGGCCGGAGATAGGTCTGCTGGCGCCGAGTCTCGGCGGGGCGGGGAGGAGGCGGCGAAGGCTGCAAAGAGGGTCACGGAAGGAAAGCGGATCGGCGCGTGCAACACCACGCAGCCCTATGCAGCCTCGAGAGCCCCTCGCAGCCCCACGCGCCCCGAGCAGCCCCGTGCAGACCGCGCCGTGAGCTGGCTGCCGCGCGCCGGGAGCTTTATTGCCGCCGCCCCCGCCCCTTCCTGCCGCCCCGCCTCCCACCGCCCCGCCCCGCCTTCCCGCCACCGCCTTTGTGTGCCGACAGCCCGCAGCGCCCCCGCGCCCGGGTGCAGGACAACCTCTCTCCGGCTACCGCCTCCCGGGCGCCATCCCCTTAGGGTCCCAGTCGTGGGGTAGCGCTCAGAAAGGATCCAAAGACACGTGAACCCAGAGGTGCGGCGCCGGCCGAGCCGAGCTGCACGTGGGTAGCTGGAATCTGTGGGGGGGAGGGGGAAGGTGGGGGGGAGGGGGAAGGTGAGGGGGGGAGAGACACAAGGATTCGTGGCGCATCCCTGCGACTCGGGGCACGCTGTCTTGGCTACCCCTCGGGAGAGATAGAAGGGCCCCGGGACAGTGCGCACCGGCCCCGCTGATGGGGATAACGGTGCCCCAGAGCCGACTTCTCCCTGCTTCGGGGGCAGGGGAGAGGCAGCGGGTCTTCTTAGGCAGATGGCAGACAAGGGAATCCAGAAAACTTGATTCCTGACTTGAGGTGACAGCATGAGGTCCCCGCAGAGTCCTGGGAACCCAACCGTTTCCAACCGGTAACTACAGCTGATGGGACCCTATGAGCAGTAGAATGGTACAGACCCCAGAAGCCGTGACAGATGACTGTCCCGCCCCCAGTTCTCTTACCTGGATCTCCCAGGTTCCTTTGCGTCAGGTTCGGTTTGTGGGGACCCAACTTTGATGACATGATTTTATGTTGACGGTAGTCAGTGCACAACCCACAACCAGCAGGCCTGCGGCCGCAACAGGAATTAACGTGGACAAGCTTTGAATTAATGTTGCATCTACTGATTAGAGCAACTTGCATGATCGATTTGCACTTATCCATTGGTGTGTAGGCGCTATGCTAGACAGTGTGTATGTGTCTCTGTGTATGTGTGTGGTGGTGCTTCTAAAAGTGGAAAATGGGCATGCCTAAGGGACGCTGAGTCGGGATTGACCCAACTGCAAAGGGTTTGCGTTTAAGGGAATTCAAAGGAGCCTGGTTGCACAGTGGTTAAGCACTGGACTGCTAATCGAAAGGTCAGCAGTTGGAACCTACCAGCTCTGCTTCGTGGGAGAAAAGGCCTAGCGATCTGCTGCTGTAAAGATTTCAGCCTAGAAAATCCTATGGGGCGGTTCTACTCTGTCAGAATTGACTCCACGAACATAAGGGAGTTCATTAGCCTTCTATAGGGAAAGAAACTATGGGACGTTTGGCCCTAAAATAAGAAGGGAACACCAGACACAAGAGATAAACCTGTTTCATTATTTTGCAGACATGCCTAATATTCATCTTCAATTCCAAGGCAACACAAAAATCCTTTTTCCTTGTGTTTCGTTTGCCTGAAATACTTTCCCCTAGAATCTTCTCATGACCACTTCCTTATCCTTTAGGTCACAACTCATGCCACCTCTTCAAGGACGCTTTCCCTGACCACTTGTGCTAAAGTCACTTCTTCCGTTCTCTAGCCTATCACTTTTCATAGCCATCATCATGATTCGGAATACCCAGGTGGTGAAAGGCTGGAGGTTAAAGTCCACACAGAGGCACCTTGGAAGAAAGGCCTGGCAATCTACTTCCATAATATCAGTCATTGAAAACTCTGTGGAACACAGTTTTACTCTGATACACATGGAGTTGCCTACCAGGAGTCAGAATCAACTCAAAAGCAACTTTTTTTTCTTCCCTTCATTATGATGTGAAAAAAAAATTTTTTTTTTTTGCTCCTTTCTTGCTAGCTTTCTTCCACCTCCCTCATTAGAATATACACTCCGAGACAGCAATATAGAGAAACCTGTTCAACACTGTTCCCAGCTCACTCCATCCATAGTTTTTAAAGCCATACTGGCCAAGCCCAAGCCTGTTGCTGTCCAATCAATTCCAATTCATAGCAACCCTATAGGACAGAGTAGAACTGCCACATAAGGTTCCCAAGGAGCGGCTGGTGGATTCAAACTGCTGACCTTTCGGTTAGCAGTTGTAGCTCGCTGTAGCTTTAACCACTGTGCCACCAGGACTCCAGAAAGCCATACTACACACATATGTTAATTGCTCAATGAATATCTGTTGACTGATAAATGAACAAACGCCGATGGACTATTAGACATGATTGGTACTGTTCCATGACAGTGCTGTGGCTTGGTCCCGTCAGGGAGGGTACCTGAGTGGAAATGGGAAGAATTCATATGAATTGGAATTGGGGGAGCTGGGGAAGAAAAGCCCAGAAGTGGGAATGAGCTCAGTGTGTCTGGGAGGATGAGAGTAGCCTCTTCCGGGCGTGGGTCATTCAGAGAACAAGTAGGGAAAAAAGTGGAACTGCGAAGAGTAAGTGACACCAGATTGTGAAAGCCTGCTTGACTCCATATCCAATTCCATCTCAATCACTTTTTTAATTGAGATTTTTAACTTAGGTAATTGTAGGTTCACATGCAGTTGTAAGAAAGAATACAGACATTGCCCAGTTTCCCCCAATAATAATACTCTGAACTTAAGCCAGTTTTTGAGAGAAATACACAAATCTTATTTTAAAGGGTACAGTCTCTTGTTTTAATTGAGCTGATGTTTTTCAGGAGAAAAAAACACCATATTTTCACAATTAGAGCATAATTAGAGTCTGGAGTCTTCCTTTATAAAATACACGTGGAAGTCTTTGGGTCTTACCTCTTATTTACATTTTACTGACTGCCATTCCCTTCCTGTTCTGTCGGAAGGACATTTTGAGCAATACTGTACATGACTTGTCAATTCTGCAGTCAGACAGGATACAGTGTTAACTAATATGCTAAACTAAGCCCAACGACTAATGTGCCTTTCTCTCCCCCTGAACATTGGATGGAACTGCTGATGAGTGTCTCCCAAAGGGAACTGATTCAAAACAAAGACCCATTCTGCCAGCAGGGTTGGCCGGGGAATACCAACTCTTCTTGTTACCAAGTGTGCAGGGCTGGTGTTGGCCGGCCTTCCTGATGCTGGCCGGCCTTCCTGATGCTGGCCACAGAAGCAATAAACCAGGCTACACTTTTTGTGACATAATGGTGTCAAGTGTCCAGGCACTTTGACCCCCATCATTATGGTGCTGCCCCAAAGAAGCTGTGTTCCTACCTGAGTTGGTGCCCATGAACGTCAGGCCCCCCTCTAGTTTTTTATCCTCTTTGAAATGTCTTTTTCATCGATTGTACTTCCAATTGACCTTTTCCTCCCATCCCAACCTCAAGTCTTGTTTGAGAAGTCCAAATCATTCAACTTTCCTATTGGCTCTTTCTTCACAGCTTCAGCTTCACAGCAGTTTCTTTTGTCCTTCAATGGTGTAGTCTGTCTTAATCTTCAGATAGAGCTTCAAATGGTTTCTTCCTTAAAAAAAAAAGTGACCTGGAGTTTATCCAGCTCCAGCCAGCCTCTGAGTTTGGCTTTGTGTCCATAAGCCACTGTTGGGAGAAATGCAAGAAATACCCAAACAAATAAAACAAATCATCTATTTAGTCTTGTTTTCTCTCTTGGAGGAGGTCCCATGTTGAAAGCCTTGGAAGAAGATGAAATTACCCCCACCAGACCCCCCTGATTCCCATGTATCCAAACAGTATGACCTTGTATTTAAGTAAAAACTGACCTTAGCTTCCAATGGGTGAGGGTGTTTTGTCTGCAAGAATGTCTGATGTTGTAATAATAAGATAAGAATAGCTGCTCCTCACCTATCTAACCCTTCTTTAAAACATATTTCAACAGAAGACTACTTGTTACACAACATTATGGATGCAAATGCTGTTATGAAAGATTACTTCATTCAGGGGAGAAGTGACTGGTATTAACAGTTCACCTATACAATGTATTTCTGGGACAGTTACGTTGGAAACATTTTAGCTTAAAAAAGACATTTGTCTTTTTATTTCCCTTTAGAGTTGGCTTTCACATCCAATTTCCTTCTTCTGTAACTTCTGAAACAGATTAAACCAGAACATCAATTTGCACTTACCCAGTATATTTCACCAGATGCTTCAGAGAAAAGACATTAGTAAGTGCTAAGCTGGGTATTATTTTCTAGTTATATTTGGCCAAATAGGACAGAAAGCCCTAGGTTCTGAGAATTATGATACTCATCCCTTTGAACAACAACTGGTTCTTCTCCTTCCTTTTACTACCAAACAATAGATGCTGCCTCCCCAGTTCCATAACTCATTGCCATCGAGTTGATTCCGACTCATGGCCTGTTGCTATCCAGTAAATTCTGACTTATAGCAACCCTGTAGGACAGAGTGGAACTGCCCCATAGGGTTTCCAAGGAGCAGCTGATGGATTTGAACTGCCCACCTTTTGGTTAGCAGCCAAGCTCTTAACCACTGTGCCACCAGAGATCCGCCCAATTCCATAGTCTCCTTAAATCTATCTTCTATTCCCATCATTGCACACTCCTCCCTTCCATCCTTCTCTCTCTCTCTCTCTCTCCAAGGCAACCAGTAATCTCCAAATGCCAACCTAGAGCTTTTCATCATTCTTTATCAACCTTGATCTCTTGGCAGCATTTAACCCTGTTGTTTTGCCCATCTTTGAAGTTCCTTTGCCTATTCTAACTCTCCTCCAATTTCTTAGCCTGCCTTTTTCTCTCCCTCATAAAGTCTTCCGCTTCCTCCTATATGCTCCAGATGTGGGTGCCACATAATTGTCTGCCTCAGCTCTCTCCTCTCTTCTCCACCCTCTCTCTTTTAATGGAGTGAACATTGATTTGGAGCCACTTAGCATCTATTCCCCCTGTCTTTTAATAACAGAATCTGGTTTCTTTTGGAGAATTACCTCTCCTGTTTATGTGCCATCTTGTTGAGAGCAGAAGTCAAGGTATCCTTACTTCCTCTAGACAATAAGTGGGCACATGACCAAGCTAACTGGGTTCCTACCAGAACCTTGAGTCTTAAAGGGAGTGGGGAAGGTAGT